GGAGAAAATGCAGTAAATATATTTTATCAGAGAAATATTGTTCCTTAAATACAATAGAATTTGCAAAAGAATTTAACGTGCATAAGTTGATAAATATGTATGCATAAATTGGTTATATTACCAGAAAATAAATCTTAATGTAATTTAATTTAACTTAAGTATTAGTCTGCTGTGAAAAGTTAGGTGAATTTAACTTAAGAGTCTTGAAAATAAAAATATGACATATCTGACAAAAGTGGTGAATTATATATGAATCCAACAAATTATGTAGAAATAGTGGTGGATAAAAATCTACTAAATTGAATTTATTAAACCAAGAATCACAATAATTAAGTAAATTTTGAATAAATTTTATGCAATACCATAAAAGAGTAAATTTTATAGTTCTACATCATGTTATACGCAGTCAGTTAGCTGTTTCTCGTGGCCTATGTGAAAGGTCAGAGTTAGCAAGCGGTGGCTGACGCGGTGCTCAACGTGTTATTATTCATTCTTATCTCCGGGTTGTAAAAAAGTAATAATTTAATCTAACCATAAAAATTAGTTACGCCCTATTAATCAGCCCTGGTTTAAATCCATGCCAACTACAATTGGCACATACTACAATGTAAATGAAATTATAAATTATTAATATTACAACTGCATGTGTGTAATTTAATATAAAATTGATTTATTTATAAAAACTGGTACGTATTTACTTACAAAAAATTATAAATAAAATAGTTCTGTTTTAGAAAATGCATATAATGTGTTTGATAAAATAATTGTATTTAATTGTAATCGAAGTAGTAAAATTAAATTTAATCTTTAAAATTGTCATGAAAAACGGCTGAAATTAGGTCATATTACTTTTTATTGAGTTAATTTTTTTATTTGAGGATATAACTGAGTTCATCAGCGATAAATCATTTCAAATCTAAAATTATTTTTAATTTATCATAATTAATGTACTTCCTGGATTTTGGAAATGAATGAAGAAAATGACGTATGAATATTATCGTCATCTAAATTGTTAAAAGTAAAACCAAAATACAATACCAGAATATCTTCCATGGAAAGAGCCAATAACCTTTAAATGTTGTAATCTACTTTAACCTATTAGATTAATCGGTTAACATCAAATTTACTTTTATATCTTAGTCTTCTGTAACTATACATTTCCGAGTTATAGTCAATGAACTTATTAATCAAACTACTCAGTAGTTATTAATATATTTTACGAGTTTCTGATTTAATTTCTGGATCACATTGATGTCGTTTCTTATAACTAATCTTACGCGATAATAATAAAAAAACCATAATTGATCTATGGTTGTACTATTTGAAACTGAGCGAAACTTTTTAACTCTCAGTTTGTTTTACTATAGCATAACTGCCGACCGTAAATTTTCACATAGTGTGATCATAATTTTTTAAATAAATAAAATTACACAGCACGCTCATTATTTCTTAAATATATAGCACCGGAAAAAAATGGATTGTCTTTATAGTTTTTGAACATTTTGTCGGATTTTCGTTCTGTAAAATATTATGACACTATCTCAACGAAACCTCTTACATTATCAGGATGCCACAGACGGCTATATTTGTTCAAAGCGGTAAAAATTCAACTCACTTTTTTTTATTATATCTTTAATTATTCAATCGTAACTATTCAATCGTAACTATTCGTAATTATTCATTAGGGCTTCCATTTCAAATTTTTCATAATTTAAAAAAAAACATTCGTCATACACTCTTTTAATAGTAAACTAAAATTAAATATGCTAGAAAAAGTTGCTAATTTTTATTTCTTTTGATAAAAACGTGAATTTTTTAGTCACCACTTTTTGCAATTATAGTCGCCCGTCTGAACCCTGACTTATGCATAACAGTAAACTGTAACGGAAAACGCTTAATTTGATGACGAAACGTAACTTTTTTAAATCTGGTTTGGACGATTGCTTTAATGTTTAACTGCAATAACGGGTCAAAGTTTTGTTTAACGAATGTTATTTTAATGTGTTGAACTTCTCTTCATATCATTCTTCGTTGATTCACTGAATAAAAATAATTCTTTCATAAAAATTATAAGCCTTTTGTATAAAGACAAATATGCAATAAAGTATTTAGATAAAATAACTAATTTCTATTAAATAATTTTTTAATAATGAAACTATTTTTTAATTTTAAGGCGTAAAATTTTTTATATATTCTGATCTTTTTTTTTTAAATTTCAATCCAATTTTTCATGCCATTTGATTAATAAAAAAGTGCTTAAAAATTAATATATGAATGGTTTTGAAATGGTACTCCATTTTGGGAATTATATCGCCAAATAACTTCAAACCCTACGTAATTCAAATCAGCCTATAAATTAAAAGTTTCTTGCGTCACCTATTTGTTACAATTTACTTTGCAGTTTTTTACTGTTTTTTATTTATTTTGGAGTTTCCGGAGCAGTTGGCATCTCTGAATATAGCCTTATTCCATGGAACAAAAGCGCAATGTATCAAAATTATCCACCAAAAGAAAAGACAATGTTCGAAAGTGTGTGTTTTTCACATAAAAAAGGCTGTGTTTTTTTTGGCTGGTTTTTTTCAAAAAATCTGTGCTTTAAGGGGTTAAAGTAGGTAAATATCGCCTTTCAAAGAAAACTGCAAATATGGCAAGCATGTCTGGCTGATAACGAATTGTAAATGTTTCTGAATTTTGAAGAGTATTTTATCCAAGAGGATATTATCGATCAGAATTTTAGTAACTCTTGAAAAGTTGCCGTTATAATTTCTATCTTTCCCTCATTATAATCCAACGGAAGATAATCCAAAAATTGGAAGTTTCAGAGATGTGGACTAGCTCCGCTTTGTAAAAAAAATATTTTGTAGTGGTAGCGAAATGTAAGTTGTTTTTAGTTAAGTATATTTTATTTTAAGTGATTTTTCTGCCATCACACATCAAAAATTTAAAATATTGTATAAAAAGTAACCATATAGTTTTGTGTTGGTCGATAACTGCGAATCTCTTTAGTTGAACAGGCAAGAGCCGCAAGGCTGTGACCTCAACAAATACTCTCACATTAAAGATATTTGATGGTGGCTTTTTAAAGATTAAGCGGTGATTTCAGAGATGCCACCTTGCGCCAGACAGCAAATAAATATTTTAATGTGGTAGTTTATCAATTGGTTAATAAACTCAATTTAGTACATTTTTATCTATTTCTAAATAATTCTTAGGCTTATATAAATCATCACTTTATAGAAGTTATGTCATGCTATACCTTTTAAAAAGCAAGCAAAAATAGTGAAATATTTGCAAAATTTAGTTTGTAGTTATTTACCGTATTTTTTTTAATTATTTAGGCGTGTCTGGAGCAGTTGGAATCTCTATAATTTCAGAATTTAAAATGTTTGCATCCATATAAGGGATAAAAACTAAATTTATTTAATAATTCAATTGTAACCACCATCATTATTTATAATGCAAATTAATCATTTTTAAAGTGAAAACAGTTTTAGAAGTATTTTCATACCTTCCAATTCCAACGGATTTTTTTCCGGAAAATTTAATTTTTATTTAATGAAGTGGCAAAATTTTTATAATTACATTTTATTCTTCTTTAAATAAAACTATTGAAAGTGTTTTTTTTATCAACCATTACATTTAAATTATTTAAACATATATAAAGTAGGCAAGCTATCTCTCTAAAAGTGTTTCAGCATAAGATATTGATATATATGACTTTATAGTATATACAGTGCAGATGAATCGGTTGGTGACGCTTCGCGCCAAATACCAAATTAACAACAATATTCAGCACTCTCTAAAAGTGTTTTTAGGAGTTGGTTAAACTTAATTAAACACCAGTGTACAATCTTTATTTAATTTTCTTTTCCCTACCATTAAAAAAAAACACTTAATTCAAAAGCATAAAAGTGGGTACGCATGCGTTTTCAATAGAAAACTGAATATACAATGCTAGATTAAGTTGTTAATTTAAATACATTTTTACTGGTCACCATTTTTTTACATTTTTAATCACTTCTGGCATCTTTGTCGAATTAATATACACGCAAATTAATACGCCAATTAAATTAAGTAATGTCGTAAATTACTTAATTAATAAATTAAGTAATTTACTACAAATTGAAGTAATAACACAATACAATTACAATATAATTATACTATAATTACAATATAATTAAATAATAATTACAATATAATTAAGTAATAATTACAATAAATTAAGTAATGAAGTAAATTAATACGACTTTGTCGTATTAATTTACTACAACTTTTTAAATAAACTTCGTAGTTAATTTTTAAAACTCTTTTCCTAAATAAAATGAACGGTTTTTTTTTCTTTTTTTCAAACACAATGCTCATAAAATATTTATTGTGAAGGTACTACTAAAAGAAAAAGAAGAAGAATCTCATAGGAAAAGTACTTTAATAATGATCATGCGCATAGGAAATGCGAATGATCATTCATTTGCATAGAAAAGAAATATCTCTTGTGTAAAATGATCATTATTAATTTTATTAAAAAAGCGATAATTAATTTCATAATAATTTGTTTCATTACTTAAGGCAGTTACATCAATAAATATTTAACAGTGCCCCATAAAACGCTGTTAAATAAAAGGCTATTCAATATTTCTTAATTTAATGTTATTACTGCCTAATATCAACAGTTTTTGTTCTATCGTTAGAAAAAGAAATTCGTAACACAATAGTTGCAAATAATGGAAAAATTAAATGTAACGGAAATGTTTAAATGCACCGTCTGGAAATTAAAGTGAGCAAAAGAAGGGAAAAAAGTCTTTTAAAAAGATCTTCAGACCTTGAAATCAAGTTCAAGTTCATCTCTTCTAACCGTTCCACTCCAGATCATATCACATAGATTTCCATCTTATCGACCATCCTTTCTTTTATGCTGCCTATCCGTCAAACTCCTGTTCTTGCTTCTAGATGGCAGCACCGTAAGCCAGCCGCAAACGATACAAAACACTTTATTCGATAAATAGGCAGACAGGAATCTACGTAAGGAAAAACGGGAGAGGGACTGTTCGAAATGGCCGTCACGAAAAACAGGAGCTCTGGATTAAGTGAAACTCCCGGGTCAACACTGCACAAAGTGGCCACAGTGTCCGGTGAGTTCATTTAAAATTGTTGGAAAAAATTGTTAAATTGCAATTGAAAAATTTTGCAAACGAATTGCGCGCATTGTTTACTTTGCAAAAAGACGAGATGCGCTAGTGACGGAAGTCGTTATGCAAATGATTGTTTTGATTTGAAACAATGCTTTTGTTGTTTTCATTGAAAAGCAATAAAACGGAATAAATTATCTATAATTTGTAAAAGGCAAGAAACTTAAAAAAACTGTTTTTGGCATTTTATATTTTTATTACCTATGAAAAATTTTTTTTATTTAAACAATGAACTTAATGTTAAGTTTATTTATTTATTTTTAATTTGTTCCTAAAATTTAAAGAAAAAATAATTTAAAAGAAAAAGATTTTTTAGTAGTTTTCTAAAAATGTATACGCATTTAAAAAAAAAAAAAAAAACATTATTTTTCTAATATTTGATTTGAAGAATTATATTACAATCGATATTTTATTTAACTTTATTCATTTTGAGATTAGAAAACAGTTGTTTTGAAATTTTTTAAAATCATTTTTTAAGTGCTTGATTTACTTTATGCTAACAAAATGACACACAACAGGTAATTTTTGGGAATTATATTTAAAATTATATTTGGGAAAAATAATTAAAAAAAAACTTTTTTTTTAAAGATTTTTTTTTAGTTTTTATGCTGCTAAATCGGTAAATTTTACGCTTTTGGCAGGATATTTATTGTTGTGATAAAATTTTTAACTTTCATGTTTGATTCTCTGTGTAATAAATATGATTTAAAAATACTTCACTTCCAAAGTGCAATTAAAAAAAAATAGTAGCCAAATTATTTTGTTATCTATTTATTTTTGAGTGATACTTTAAGGTTTTGATCTATTTCATTTATTACTCCCCACTTCAAAAATGAATGAAGAAATAAATTTTAAAAAAATCTACTCAAACACACTTTGAAGTAAAGTATACGTTGAAGTGTCAGCGAAAATAAATAAATTAAAAATACCCATATTCATGCCTCCATTTTCTATATCCCCCTCCTCTGATTGTTGTTGCCTATGAATAATTCAAGCATAATGATTGTTTAACATGAAAATATGTAGTGCCAGTGAAATTAAAGTTTTCATTTGTACATTTATGCAAAAAACTCTGCAATATTACAGGGGTGCAAAATAACTTATTAACATTTCCAAAATTATTATTCGGTCTTTTATACATGAATGTTTTTTTAACGAAACTGCTGTTACAGAACAGTCTACGTTCAGACATTTTTCATATCTTTCTATTCTCACAATTTTTTTTTTTTTGTCTTATTCCAATTATGAAGAAATTGCTCGACTTTTTAAATAAATGGTTCCTATAAAAGACGGAAAAAAAAAATGTGCAACTTTAAGCTTTTCAAAAAGGTGGCAGGTAAAGTCATAGAAATTGAAATCGGTGTTTCGTTTAACAATTCGTCCAACAATTAAAATCAAGCCTATTATATATATGCTGAAATTATTCGAATATAATGGTAGTCAAAGTAATTTTAAACCGTATTTATTTAATAAAGAATAAAATGCGAGATTCTGTAAATTTTTCCACTACATTAAATAGAAAAATAAAATCTTTCGTGAAAACCGGAAGAGTTGGCAAATATGCAAAGGTTTCATTATTGCAATTTATTTTTATTTTGCAAAAGCAAAACAGTTTTGTCTACCATGATATGTTATTAATATAAATGTTCATACTCTAATAATGTAAATACATTTTGGTGTTGTGCAACCAATCGGGCAACCAAATTAAACAAATATAACAAACACTGGAAATGTAGAACCAAGTGCATTTAAACGTTTTACAACCACTATTCCTTTAACAAAGAATGTACTATTCTGAAGGTATTAGTCTTTAATTCTTTACCTCTCAATAAAATCTCCTGTCAAAAACGTAGCAGTCGACCTTCCTGCTACGTATTTGACTGATATTTGCATGTGTAAACTACCAATACGTGTAATAAATTTTGTTCTACGAGACTGGTATTATTACCAGAGATGACAACTGCTCCGGACACGCCAAAATAATTAAAAAAACGGTAAATAACTGCAAAATAAATTTTGCAAATATTTGACTAATTTTACTTGGTTTTATAAAGGTATAGCATGACATAAGTACTGTAAAGTGGCGAATTGTATAAACCTACGAATTATTTAGAAATAGTAGTGGATAAAAATCTACTAAATTGAATTTATTAAATAACTAATCACAATTGATAAACTACTACTTTAAAATATATATTTGCCATCCGGAGCATGTTGGCATCGCTGGAAGTTCTAATGTTGTGCTGTACTAAGTTAGTCAATCGAATTTTGCTGTTCGGAGAATGGTCAAAGCTAAAGTCGAAGGTGAATGAGAGAAGCGTAGTACCACATTTTTCTTATAGATTTTTGTTTATTTATCAACCAAATTTTCGTGACTACGAGTTAGTAGTCTCCTCCATTACCCAGAAAGGCTTATTTTTAAAATTTAAGTGGTAGCAGAATGTATCTTTCAATATTATACTCTAGTTAGATGAAATAGCTCAAAATTGTCTGCCCTATCATTGGAGCTATTAACACGTTGAATGAAATGGGGGTCACCGGTGACCGACTAAGCCAAGATTGCTAGAAACACATAATTCGAGTAAATTTTTAATGCTTTTAATTTTTTTATATTATTATCGTTACCAAAATGGTTTGAAGAAATTAATGCAATATAGAACACACAAAAATGGATTTATTTATATACACAGAGATGCCAACTTGCTCCGGACAGCGAATAAAGATTTTCAAGTGGTAGTTTATTAATTGTGACTCTTGGTTTATTAAATTCAATTTAGCAGATTTATATCCACCACTTTTTCTAAACAATTCGTAGACTTATATGATTCACCACTTCTTTCATTCAAATATGTCATGACCTTTTAAAAAACTAGCAAAATCTGTCAAATTCGCAAATTTAGTTTGTAGTTATTTAACTACTGGTCAGACGGGCAAGTCATGTAAAATTAGCATGGCATTCAACGTGTTAAATAAATAATCCCAAGAAACTGTAGTTGTAAGATATTACTTAATTGATAAACTTCATTCGCTTCAAAAATTTACAAAAATCAGAAAACCGTCGAGATGTTTCAAGAGTGCTAAAAAATAGGCGCCAATTTACTCACTAAGGCTACTGCGGATTCACCACTTTTTCAGATAAGTCATGCTAAACCTTTTAAAAAATCAGCAATATCTGTCTAATATTTGCAAATTTAGTTTGTAGTTATTTACTGTTTGGCCAGACGAGCAGGCCATGAAAAATTAGCGTGGCATTCAACGTGTTAATTAGTTTTATGCAATTAAAGTAAATTTCGAAACATTTAATTTATGTATAAAATGTTCGGCTGCAATACAAGGTTTTTGAGAAACTTAAAAATTTCTGCATGCAATCTTCAATTTTATTGTTATTTCCCTACCACTACAAAAAATCATCCTCAAAGGCCCTAAATTTGCAACTTTTAGGATGATGATAAGAGATTAGTTTTGTTCTTTTGTCTTTAAAAAATGATGTTATTTGTAACTCCATAGTTATTGAACTCTCCCGATTTTGTCGGAAGATTTTCAGTTTGTTTCTAACGAAGTTAAAAACATGTTATTTTTTTATTTTTATCTTGGTTTAGAAAACTGTTTTACAATGATTTTCACCACCACCACTTTATAGATATACTTTAAGTAAATAAACAAAACCCTGACAATTAGCTTAGAAAAAAATTAATTTTTCTCAAAGTTGATATAATTTTTGTTTATAATTGTAAATTGTCTTAATCAGTTAAGGTAAAAACTGTGATATTTTTACAAAAATTATGGATTAGATTAGACATTATTAAAGATCTAGCGATGCCAACTGCTCCGCTTTTTGCGAAAGTTTCAATAAATTGATAGCGAATGATAAAGTCGAACTTGTAGAATAAGGGATAATTTCGCTAACTCTTTAAAAGTCTTCCCACTCAGGGAGGTCACAGTGAAAAGTGGTAAGCAAAGATCTACTAACACGTTGAATGCCATGGTGGTGACCAGCACTGAGTTTGCTCGTAAAGCCACGGGGGTCACCGGTGACCGGCAAAGCCAAGATTATTAGAAACGCATAATTCGGGTAAATTTTTTTATATATATATTATTATCGTTATTAAAATGGTTTGAAGAAATTAATGCAAAATAGTTTTATTTATATACACAGAGATGCCAACTTGCTCCGGACAGCGAATAAATATTTTCAAGTGGTAGTTTATTAATTATGATTCTTGGTTTAATGAATTCAATTTAGTAGATTTTTATCCTCCACTATTTTTTAAACAATTCGTAGGCCTATGAAATTCACCANAATTGATAGCGAATAATGACGTCGAACGTGTAGAATAAGGGATAATTTCGCTAACTCTTTAAAAGTCTCCCCACTCAGGAAGGTCACAGTGAAAAGTGGTAAGCAAAAATCTACTAACACGTTGAATGCCATGGTGGTGACCAGCACTGAGTTTGCTCGTAGAGCCACGGGGGTCACCGGTGACCGACAAAGCCAAGATTATTAGAAACACATAATTCGGGTAAATTTTTTTATATATATACAGAGGTGCCAACTGCTCCGAACACGCCGAAATCGTTAAAAAAAAAAGGTAAATAACTTCAGAGAAAATTTTGCAAATATTTGACGATTTTTGCTTGCTTTTTAAGAGCTTTAGCATGACAAAAATAATATAAAGTGGTGAATTATATAAGCCTACGAATCATTTAGAAATAGTGGTGGATAAAAATCTACTAAATTGAATTTATGAAACCAAGAATCACAATTGATAAACTACCACTTTAAAAAATATATTTGCTGTCCGGAGCAAGTTGGCATCTCTGTATATATTATTATCGTTATTAAAATGGTTTGAAGAGAACAAGAAGTACGTAAATCATTAGATTCCAACCTTACATTGAAACTCGAATTGATAGAATTAACACGTTGAATGCCATGGAGGTCA